CACAGGGGTGCCTGCAGCCTCTCACCAGGAGCACAGCTAATACAGTTTTCTGCAGACTATTTCTCTTCAAATAACAGCCCCGATGCAGGGAGCTAAGATCCACAGCACGCAGATGCTGAGGTTTCTCTGGCTTAGAATAAAGCCTCACACTCTATAGGAGCCCAAGTCTCTTCTGATGATTCGTTAAACATAGCTCCCAAGGACCTCACAAGGGACACGGCTTTTGGCAGGGCAATGGGGGCATGTGGAAGTAAAAAGCTTGGCATTCCCATCAGGCATTTATGGTTGATTCATCATCCCCTCCCGATCCGGTTGAAATTTATCAATCCTAGGTCAATGTTATCATGAGCGGGGTTGCCTGGTAACACTGGCATGCTCCCTCTTCCATTTCCAGGGAATCCAAATTAGGAGTTTATCAAAGGGCTGGAGGCTCTTACAGCAGGATGAGGGTTTTATCAGCCTGTTGTCCAGATTCCCAGTTTCTCCATCTCCACTATCCTCTGTATAGACGCAGCACCTGCCCTTCATGCCGGAACTTATATCCTGACATCCACATTCACACCCCGTAGCCCACGCATACACTCCTTCGTGGAGGTCCATCGTGAAATACCATGACGGGTTACTGCCTTGTTCAACTCTTTCTCTGTTTCCTATATGCCTTTGAGTAAAGCTCCAAGTTGTTTCACTGCCTGCCTCGAAATCTCAAGGACCCGAGTTTGATCTTCGATACAAAAAAAAAAAAAAAAAAAGATACACATTTACTGAATGAATGATGAAGCAAGTGATTACCTAGTTTCAACCATACCTAATTTGGAAGGATTTCCATATGGAAACATTCAGTTTGAAATCGACAAGAATCGGAAGCTAAGTGATTGATGTTAAGGAAGCATTTTGACAGAAGTTACCCTAAAGACGAAAGTGCCAGCGACTGAGATTTCTTCAGGGTAACAAATAGGCAGGCAACGTAACCAAGGCCATTTCCAGAGACACACCACAGTGCTCTGGTGAGCTACAGCAGAAGAGCAAATGACAGAAAGGACCCACTTAGGAGGACTGCAAGAGAAGATGTAGGTTGAAAATGTGCCTGAGGCGGAGGGGGGTGTGTGTGGCATTTATCAGGCATTTCAGGGAGAAGCAGCTACAACTTTCTGCATGGTGATCATGTGGAACTAGAACTTAAACTGCCTCTAACTTGTCCACCTATCACTAATTGGTACCCTCAGACAGAGCCAGTGATATGGAGCGATTGGAGACAAAAGGTAAAAAATACTGAAGGACATGTGTGTGTTGGAGGGGATGGAATAAGCACGCAATGAGTATTTTCTCATTTAATCATTTTGATGTCCTATTTGCCTGATAGGATATGTATACTAAACAAGGAGAGAAGTCTTTGTGTGATGGTAGATATTTTTAAGTCAACTGAGAGAAACAGAAACTTGAACAATGCACGTTGTAACTTGAGGAACCCTACTGACTAGAGTCGTTCCATTGTGCTCCTCTGCACTTGGGCAGATCCACAGGAAGCTTCCCATAGACGTGCACCATGAAGCCACAACCACGAAAAACAGTCCCGAAAGGGGTGGTATTGGCTCTTTGACTCGGTAGCTCCATGCTAAGTCTGAGAAGAAATACTGCTTCATGCAAATAGAACAGAAGGAGGAAATTATCCATGCCACACAAAATTGGAGACTACTCACAGATCTGAACAAATACATAATAATGGTAAGCAAATATATGGATGCGACACTTGTGTGCCAGGTACAGACTTAAGTGTTTTATGTGTATCAACTCAGTGAATCTCACAGAAATCCTACAAGATAGGTATTACTATATTACAAACGAGAAATGTGTTACCAAATTTCTGAGGCCGCACAGGGTGAAACCACAGAATGTGCCTTCGCCTGCAGTCTACTCTAATGAGAACCTTCCAGTGATGTTTAAAAGGCACTAGAATTGATTTTCATTAATCACAAATTGCTTGTCAGTTCGCCTATGTGTTAAACTTTATGTGCAGCCACACAATTGATATTCATGGAACTATCTGAAAACACTTGAGTTGCCTGAGATTCAGATGTTCAGCTAGGGTCAGAGGTCAGGCTCTGTCTTGCTGTTTCCACTTGCATGCTGTGAATGAGTGTCTTTCTGTGGAATATTGGTGACACTTCTTTTTGGAAAAAGAAAAGTTCTGTGGGCGATTTTAATACTTGAGGTGACCTGCAAGCTTGGAGTGGGAGATCTGGCCAGTGTCCCCAAGGGCAAGAGACTGTGTTGCACCTTACGGACAAAATGTGTGTTAAGTAAACTTGGCTCAGGAATGACTTTATTGTGCTGTTGGACATCAGTGCAATACAAATGAATCGATCATATTAAATAAGATGTCTTTAAACACAAACATAAACCAAATAAGGTTATCTATTGATCAGGTGATAACAATACTGTGGCCAAAGGCAGAAGCCTGATCTCATTAATACTCTTAAGAATGACGAGTCAGTTTTGCTAAAGTGGTGCTCTGGGTGACCTTTAGAACATAGTTAGCACAGAGTAATAATCAACCACATCTAGGACTTTTCTCATTGAGGAATGAGTACAAAACAGGAATACTGTGTAGACGGTAAATTTTAGGTAGCGTTGTTAGCTCTAGGTGACTATGACAAGCATGATCAAATGTGTGAAAGCATTTCTTCCTCCAAGAACTGACCCTCTCCAAGCACTGGACTCTGTGGACCATATCAAGATGTGCATACAGGATCTGGGGACAGAATCTCTGGCACAGAATAAGGTTCTGAGCTTGGCCTGGGTGGGTTAATTTAAGTAGCTCATGTGAAACCGGAGAAGGTAAATGAAGCAAATAGTCTTATCACGTCAAAGACGGATATCAGTCTAACCCCACATCCACTGAGGACGTTATTTGAATATCAAAGTGAATTTTGAGAATAACAAAATATTTTAAGGGAAATCATTAAGACTTGCTTCCTTTGCAAACTTTAAAAGTATAACATGTTTTAATCAAATTTAAAATACACAAATGAATATATGATTTCTTGGAGTTAGTTGCTAAACTGTAAGAAAAACAGACTAAGAATTAGTCTCGCTGGTGTGCATGAAACATGTTTTACAGAAGAAGGAAGCTCTGGCTGACCATGGCAGTGACTACATTGTTTGCACATTTTTTATCAGCTGTCTTCACTTCCCACCAAATCTTCCAGCTCCTCTCTCAGTATTTCTTCCTCCTTTTAAATAAGTGACAAATAGATCCTATCAGAATCCAATTTTCTAAAGCATTTCCCTACCAAGACTTCTAATATCAGCAGGAACTGTTTTTTATTGTAAATCAAGTGAGTGATACTCTAGTTTACACATTGTTATTTTCCTAGTTTGTTTCATGGAAGTGCATTCTCCTAGGGACACCGGCAGCAATGTACAGATGTACAACAAGGATGTGATGTCCTCTGTTCTCACCTAACAGGGAGAGAGAATTGTTTTCAGTTTGTGTTTCCTCCTCAGAGATGGAGATAAAGACCATGGGGAAAATACATATAACGTAACCTGAAACAGGTTCCTTCAGAGTCACCATATTCAACCAAGTCATTGAAAATGTTGGAGGAAGAAACCCATGAGTGGAAAACACTGCATGTCAGAGAGAGAAGGAAAACAACGCTAAGAGCAAAGTGTGGTGTGCAGTATATTCAAGTTGTGAGCCAGGCCTTATAGATATTGCCATGAGAATTAAATGAATATATATCACATCCTTAGCAAAAAGATAACTACAACCTACTTAGACATGTCAAGTATCTAAGTCCAATAAAGGGAAGATCTAACCCAAAAGTAAGATTCACATAATTGAAGAGCTTGACATTACCCTTGGAAAAACTGGCACAGGGAGATGAAGCTCAGAGCTCAAGTCCTGGGTCAGCTACTTTTTTAGTTACAGAGTACTAGTTCCTCTAACTGCCCTCTATTTTCTATCTATGAAATAGAGAGAGTGGAAACAGTCTTTTAGGTGCTGCCAAGATGGTACCAGGAGATGAACCACTGGGTGCAACGGTTATTTGAAAGACCTCTCTCCCCATGGCTCACAGGGAACAAGAAGAAAGTATTTTTGGTCAAATTCCAAGTGTTTTATAGTTGGTTAGAGAGAGAGCAAATCCATTGTTATGATGGGTAGGTAATAAATAGGCCTACAGATAACAGAGGTGTCAGATCGCAGAGATAGATGGTCTCCCAGGTTTCTATTAATAGAACATACATTTTGTTTTTTCCCCGATACTGTAATGCTCAATGCACTGACATAATTATTTTGGAGAAACAGAATTATAGTCTAGTCCCTAACATGGCTCCATGTCCAGGTCACTTTAATAGTAATGCAAATCTGGAAGGAGCTGTCTTTCACGTGCATCCATCTCTGCAATAGAAAGTGCTTCAAAGGCTGAAATACGAGAGTAACACTGTCCAGCTGTCCTCTGCTAATGCTCTGGTTCCCATTCCCCTTCTGGGACTTGCACCTTTGCTCCTATTTTGATGCCTACAGTCCATTTGTCCCATTCTTCTCTGGAAGGTTTGTTACTTCCAGTCAGCTCTTGTAAGGGTCTATCATGGAAACTGTGAGTACATCTATTGCAATACCATAGTTCATTTTAGGGTGTAGTCTATCAGTCTTTTTTCATGCTTGTGAGTGATACTCTCTGTAGCAGTTCTTATGAGTAAAGTAATAAAATCAGAGTCAAGTGTTTACGTGGACTGAAGCCTTTTACTGCCAGAAAGAATCACAGCACTAGGTACTTAGACTCAATGATCTTTACTGAAAGCACACTGTGCACTTTCACTACGCCTAAATCAGGATTTCAAAGAAACAGAGGTCATAACAAACCTAAGAGCGAATTGCATTTAGGTCTAATGGCATATTGATTTTTGTTGATCTTTTTGAAAGCGACTGTAAAAGGGCTAAACAGAGTAAGGAAAGCAAAGGAAAGACAATGTAGGAAACAGGGAAGTGTTATCACCTCCACACACCACCCCGTCCAGGTCCTCACAGCGCCGGTCATCACACTCGCAGGTCTTGCCGTACACCCTGAGGTCCCCTGGTGGGTAGCAAGTGCACTTTCCACATTCACATCTGCCTGCAAGGGATCAAGAGAGAGCACACTGGTTAGGAAAGTCACAGGCTCAGAAAGGCATCCAGAAAACAAGCTTAGAGTTAAACCCGAATCTCCTGACTAGTTCTCGGCCGGGCTCAGCTACAGTTCAGCAAATACTTTTGCTGACCTGCCCAAGGAGGTCAGGATTTGGTGAGAGTGGCCAGCCCAGAAGGCATTCATATTGGTTGATTCTGCCTTGTTTTACTCATCTTTGAAAATCCCATAGTGAAACTCGCATCCTCAATTTAGTTTGGTGGCATCATTTAAAATAATGGAATCAATTTATATATTTTATAAATTTTCGGTTAAGCTGCCACATGAAGAAATATTCGTAGGTGTGCTTCACTGTGATGTTTTAGTGATTATTTGTAGTAATGCTAGAGTTCGTAGAACTCACTTTAATGTGGAGCACAGGTCAAAGCACATGATCCCCCAAAACTTATAATTTTCAGTTTAAAATCTAAAAGTACAGACTTCGTTGGACTGAGTTTGGTTCCAATAGTCAGTCTCTTCCTTAGTAATATCATGATGACTTTCCTTATCTTTTCTTAAGCTGTACCTACACATCTGACACTATAATTCCTCACATTATATCATGGTTTTCCCTGTACCCACACATTAACTAACATTACTAAATACGAAACTGCGAGACATCTTGAGGTGAAGACGCTGTTTGTGGAGAACCAGCTAGAAAGGAATAGAATCAGACTTCACAGCCAATGTCATTAACCTTACAGCTAATCCACCCACCCATGAAGCCATAGCTCATCTTCATACGCTCATAAGGCTGCATCAGGAGGCTACATAAAAAAGAAAATTCCTTTCGCCTGAGGAATCTTACTGCTTGCCAGAAATTCAGCTAGGTGCCAGGGCTCCCAGAAATCTGTTACTCTCTTTCCTTAGCCCTGCCACCAGCATCACACACCCACTGAAGTGACCCTAAGAAGCTTCCGGCTGACCCTGCCATGCTGTTCACCACTCTGTTACTGCATTTGTATCTCGGTAAGGAAATTCTGAGTTGGTAGATGAAGGCATAAAGAAAAAATTAGTAATCGGCATTGTGTCATCTCAGAGCTGTAATAAGGGATAATCTCATGGACTGATTCATAGTCTTTTTTGGCAGAAGTGGTGGGTTCAGCATTCCTTTGAGAATCTGGTGGGCTTGAATATAGCTTCAGAGTACTGTGCCTGCCTGGCAAGTCCTGAGTTCGATCCCTGGTACTAGAAAAAAAAAAAAAAATCTGGCTTGGAGAATCTGGTAAAGGATGAGGCACTAGATGGGGCTGTTCTGGTTTCCCCTCAGTGAATTTCTTTCAATTTGGAGGTACAGTTCTTGGAGTATAGTACAGAAGGCAGGGGCTGCTCCACAAGGGGATTCCCTCTCCCTTCCCCTTTGTTGGCCCAAACTGGACAGAGCAACACTCTTGCTGAGAGGGAAGCAAAGGTCCAGGCTGGGTAGACAAGGCAGCCAGTGCCTCAGCACGTCAGGGAGTGTGCACAGAAGCCGTGCACAGCATGCAGCTCCAGCATTGAGAAAGGACAGCAGTGAAGACAGGAGAGTGGCTGTCCCTCACTTCCTGGGCTGCTGCAGGGCTGGTGGGCCAGAGTTACACTGTGGGCCTGCATCCTTCCCCCAAGCCCTGTGAATCCCACTTAACCTTCAGTCCAGAATCTTAGCCGGCGGGTGGTAGGGTACAAGGCTCAGAGATGTTGGCAACAAGCTACATCTCAGTTAGCCTAGAGCTGTGAGCTCAAGAATTGTATTGCACACCCGGTAACGTAGTTAATAGCAATCATTACCTCCTATTTTAAAAACTGCTAAGAGCATAGATTTGAAGGGGTCCTCCCATGAGACATTAAGTATGTGAGATAATCTATATGCTAATTAGCTTTGTATAGCTATGCCATCATTGTCCATATCTCAAATAAAAGATTACACAAAGTAAGTATACACAATAACAAAAAACTCTATGTGGTAGAATTCAGATCTCTCCCTGGAAAAGTATGTCAGTACTCTTTACTCTGTTTCTTTCTTCCTTCCTCTCTCTTTTCCTTCCCTCCCTCCCTCCCTCCCTTCCTTCCTTCTTTTCCCTGTAAGGCATCTAAGGCTCCATTACAGCTTCCCCCTTTTTATGTAATATTATGTAAAAGGCAAAGAAACTCAACCATGTCAGAGTTAACTGGATTAGTTAGCACTGGGGTTAGAACCCCGATGTTCTGAGTGCACAGACTCTGACCATCACTGTGGGTGGATGCGTGAATGGATCCAACAATGCTGACAGCAGAGAGAGACAGACTTTAAGGCCCTGGAAGTGTGCTGATTCACTACTCTTCATGGGCAGTTGTGAGAAACTGTTCCTACCAATCATAGTAATCTTAAGGTCTGACACCTTACTAATTACAGATAGAGTCCGTGTTTACATTTCAAGTCCTATGTATCGATGATGCCACATTTATTCACATGTTAAGGCACATAGTAATTCTCCTGAATACATCTTACTAGCTTTTGTGCTTCTTCGGAAGGGATAAACTAAATATTGGCATTAGTGTCAAGACATCAGTATTTCACTAATTTCATTATTGATATTCTTATGTCATATTTCTTGTATAAAGTTAGTGAGTAAAGTGTTAATATTCTGTCCAGCAACATTGTATTTCCTAATAAGATTGTAATTCACATATCTTTTTCAAATATGTCATGAGCAGGAAGAAGAAATAATTCACTTTTTGCAATTCATTTTTCACCACATATCTATTAGAACTTCTTTTTTAAGGGACATATTAAGGCAAGTATTAACTGAATGAACTTTATATATGCAAACCTAATATACTCTATAGGAGATGGTGTCTTCTAATGTCAAGGTAAAACATATAATATCTAAAAAGGATAATTCATTGTAAATAGAAAGGTAAAGAAGAGTTTGCCTACCCTTACATCCTGGATTGGCAAGGACAAAACCCAGACTACACAGGAAATAGTACAATCAACAACTGGGATCTCATCCTATTAAAAAAGCTTTTGCACTGCAAATGAAATCACCCACTAAGTGGGAAAAATTTCTAGCCAGTAGTTCCTTAGACAAAGAACTAATATCTAGAACATACAAAGAATTGAAAAAAATTAGATCCCCCTCCAAAATTTAAAGACTAAATCCAAAAATGGGCATCTGAAGTGATCAGACATTTCTCAGATAAAGAAGTACAAACAGCACATAAATATGTAAAAAGTGCTCCACATCACTGGTCATCCAAGGGGTGCAAATGAAAACAATGCTGAGATTCCATCTCAGTCCGAAAAGAATGGCTAATGTCAAGAAATTAATCAACTACAAATACTGGCAGTGATGGTGGTGGGAGTACAGACTGGTGCAACCACTGTGGGAATCAGTGTGGAGATTTCTCCAAAAACTAGGATTAGAATCCCTTTTGACCCAACTATTCCTCTTCTGGGTATCTTCCCAGAAGCATCATAACACAGAGATATATGTGCACCCATGTTTACAGCAACACAATTTTAATAGCTAAATCTTGGAAACAACTCAAATGCCCATCAACCAATGAACGGATAAAAAAGATGTGGTTTTTCTATACAGTTGAGTACTACTTAGCCATAAAGGAGGATAAATTTGAGACATGTATAGCTAAATGGATGCGCCTTGAAGCTATACTCTTAAGTGAATAAATTGGACACACACATATAAATATTACGTCTCTCTGTAAGTAACTGAAAATGTAAATAGTATGAAAATGTATAACAGACAATGTGAAATAAGAAAAAAATCATTCAATGGGAAGGGGAACTACAGTAGGAAGCAGGGAAAGGATGGAAAAAAAATGAGAAAAGAAGGAAAAAGGAGAAACCGGAAATAGGGCTTCTGTAAATAAGGAAGTGGAAGAGGAGTTGAAGGGAGGGGAGGGGGTTGGGAAGAAAAAGGAATCAAGCTACATCGTGTAATTCCCTATGATGGATGTGAATCTAAATTGTACCAATAAAATTTACAAGGATAATTTAAAAAAGAAAGGTAAAGAAAAATAAATTCCTCACACAGAGCACATTTTAAAGCATATCATTCTTCTGTCTTAAGTCACTACCGAAAGTAGCTGTCATTCTTAGTTCAGATACTATCACGTACTTGTCGTGTAACTTTCCAGTCCTGCTTCAAGACCCCAAGTAAATTCCGCCAACTCCATGGTGACATGTATGTCCTCTGGGGCACTTTCACAGACACAGCAACATGAGCTGCACATCTCTTGTGCTCTCGTGCTTCTGAATCAGTATGTATTGGATGAATGCCTCAAACAATAATAATTTCTGAATAGTTTACTTATACTCAAATGCGAGCTTAAATGTCAGGGCTTGAATTTGCAGCAGGATGTTGAAACAGAATAGCACTCCCCATGGCTTGAGCATCTTCATTCACGTCTCCCACAGTCAGAGCAACTGAATGGGTCCTACATCAAATTCACAGCTTTATTGACAAACCTATTCCTTCTTCCCAGGTCCTTTATTTGCAAAAGTGTCCCCCATCCTCCGGTCTGTCATGGAATCTAAAAGGCGGGTGATAGTATTTGATTTTGCTTCTTTTACTTAATGATTAAATTTATTTTGAAATTTCACAAAATTCACTTTCTTAAAACATATTTATGTTTTAATAAATACATTTCTCCTGCAGGCCCCCTGTGACACTAAAGTCAAGATCATCCTTTTTCTCGGACGTTGGCAGACTTGGTCTGGCGGTGTTTTGCAGGCACAAATCTGATTGCCGATTGCCATTCTGGACTCCTGCGCGAGACAGGGTATAGGAGCCACGTTTCTCTCTTCTGTTGTACATCCTGCAACAGTCAGCTAAAACAGTCAGCTCAACAGTAAGCTAAAATCTAATTCGCTCTGCAAAGTCTTCTTTGCCCATCCCGGCAGAACTGCTCCCTCACTCTGAGCTGTGGTACTTTGCCCACCCAATTAGTTGAGCACTGATTTTAAA